GCAAACACTATTTGGCAATAAAGCTAAATATGACAAAACATTATTCAATTGCATGACTACCCACATAGCTCAGTTGATTTGTACTATGCCAGCAATGTGAGCGATCGCTGGTTCTAATCCAGTATATTTAGTTTGATTTTTGAATGCTAGTGAAGACAGTGCTGCTATGAATAGGACTTAAATCCTATCTATTGTGTGAAGACACTCGTGGTACAGTGGACAAGACAGTGCGCAAGTTCGAATCACGTATTGGACACTCCTACAAAAGACATGAAAGACGTTAAAAACATAAACAGCGGATTCAAAAACTCAAGTCAGAAAAACAGAACACAAGAATACTACCTCACATGGAAGCCAGTCGAAGTCGACGAAGAACGAACACAGTTGACAGCTGTAGGTCACGTTCAACAACCGGCACGAGGAGAATGGCTGCTCTCCAAATGGGTCCCTTCTTTTGTATTGACCCCCTAATGATTACTGATCCCCCTTTCTAATTCTTCCCCCCAAAATAATATATCGCCCCTTTAGAATGTATTGACCCACAAATTAATGAATATTCATGAGCACAGAAACTGCTACGTCATGAATAAATTAGCATAATTAACAAAAATTTGCTTAAAGTGTAGGTACGTCTTCTGGAGTCCTGCCCCAGCTACATCTTCCCCTTGTTCATACTACCGCTTTTTCATTTCCAGCTGCAATGTAACTAATAACATGTGTTAGCTAATATGCACGTTTATTTTTTTCACAGAAAGTAGCGCATGTTTTTATGGTTATATTTTCATTTCAGAAATATCAATCAGTGTACTGGCTTACACAGTATATGTAAAAGAAGTTGCGCAACTCATGGTCGACGATTTCAACTACTCGGGATTTTTTTTTTAAATTGTCTTTCTGTTAAAAAACGTTGTTGGTATCACCATATCAACAACAGTGACAATAATAATTATTGCTCAAATAAGGGATCTTGATATATAACAGATAAACATTTTGGTTTTTCATCAATAAAATTTTCCAGCCATATTTGAATAATACTCTAAATGCATTGTTTACCAACGCTCACTGTTCTCAGCGTCTGGACTAGATAGAACATAGACTAGCCTGCAATCCAGTCATTCTGAGCACAAGAATGACCCGGTGTAACTATGTATTTGGTACGGAATTCTGTGTCATCACTGATTGGCTCTCTCCATGACTTTGGTACATTGCAATGGCAGTACGCACGCACAGACAGGCATGTAGGTCAGCTCATACAGACAGCCTCACTAGTCTAGTATGCGTAGATTTTTCAAAGTCTCACATTCTAGTCCAGATACCAAAAGTAAGAAGCAATACATAAGTAAAAAAAAATACCTAAGTAAAACCACTTTTCGGTAAAACGCAGCCTTTTATAGAGACAATAATTGTAGTTCATTTTCAATGAATAAGAGCTTCCAATAAGAAATATATTATATCTAATTGATTTTTAACAAACGTTGCATCTCTATAAAGATTGCCGAATGATCTATAAATAAAATATAAAACCACTTTAAAATTAAATGAACGCCAATGAAGCATTGAATTAAAATTATTTCTTTCATGCCACTCAGTTACTTACTCAGTTAAAAAAAGGGTATGGTCATTTATACGATTAAGCGCTTTCACAAAATTTACAAATACACAATACAGACGCCCACTTAGAGGCCAATATCACAGGACAAGATAATCTGCATAAAGTTGATGAAGCACGAGGTCGATGTGGCTATTTTTGGTCTTAATAAATTTGATTTATTGTATGCGACATACTCTGATAGACAATAATTACATAAGTAATTAAAGCAGGGGACTCGTCAGATGGCCATAGCGTGTCATTGTTTACAAACAAACGTCTACCCATGAGCCTTCGCGTTTCTAGCGTATGTTGTTATAGTCGCTTGGGACTCAATTCCCGCGCGTGCGCAGGTGACAAGTGTTCGGAGTATGGAACAACTTACAACATGTATTGATTGTACATAAACTAAATACATGTATTCAAATTACCCCTAAAGCTAGCAACCAACTCAATTGATGGATGCTCACGTGATCAATTTCCGTCCACCGCATACTTAATATATCTCGTGTGACTTGATCTTTCTACGTTAACATTTCATTTTCCGAGTGCATTTAATGAACTAATAATTATAAATTAAGTCCATTTTATCATACAGATTTGCTCCTGGACAATTTAATCTGTTTTAGTCTTATCGTACCAATTTTATCCGCTTAAATTTAAACATTAGAAAAGTACAAACTCAGTAGTAAAAATGACAGATGGAATTACAACACGATACTAACACAACTATCAATTATTATAAAATTACACAAAATTAATGTATATGCTCTTTATATTCAGGTGTCATCTCTCGCATATATGTCTCACAAGTTACGTCCAGGTCGCTGTCGTCATCTTTGCTGACACCTGCATTCTTAGGTGAACGAATTTTTGTTGTGCATTGATTGACACGTTTTGTAGATAATTTGCATAAATAGCAGGCACGCTGTAATGAGCAATGCGCATCCAGCAAATAAAAACGACATAGTATAGTCCATTGTGACGTCATACATCCACCCTGGAGTAAAATATAGAAATGCAAATATCATAAACTTGTGAAAATTACCATTATGTGTGAATCAACACCAAGAATCACGAACGAAACCATGTTTAGATTGTATAACCACAACAATGATCAGCTGTAAGCTGTATGATTGTTATATATATTATGATTCAAACCTGGTATATTTAACATTCATTGTCATTTCATCAGTTTTATGACGATTTATCATGTTCCAACAACACTTTTGAATTAGATACTGATATTGGAGATGTTTTTTGTCTTATTGGATCACCATGGTTACATTTCACCAGGCAGGAACATTGGACGAGAACTATCGAGAACATAGAGATAACAACAAATAAAATGTAGACCCCGCGCTGTTCACATTCTGAATACAACTAGTAGTGCTAGTGAAAGTTGTCAATTCTGTATCAACAATAAAAGTTTTGGACCTGTAGAATGACATCAAGTCAAAAAACCAAGATTATACTCAAAGGTAAGTTTACTGTGGTACTATGCATTTCCATGGGGGTGGAAAAGAGTATCTCTAAGCGATACCGGAAGTTCAGGCGAAGTATATTTGCATCAATAGAACATTGAATTTTGAGTTAGTTTCGCATTCATACTTTATATGCTAATCACAGGGCATTAGAATCTGGCAATGGGTGTATTTATGTCTTGAATGTGTTTGAATTATTTTTATTATGTTATAACTTTGAGTGAATAGATCATGGTGGGAAAATGAAGATACATCAATTGTTAGACATGACATCGCCGGCTTCAAGAATCATCCAACCAATGACTGGGCAGAATTGACCCATGTTAAACACCGAACTCTGCCCAGCTCAACAGTTGGGTTTATCTCGCATGAAAACGAGTTATTGGCTGGTTCCCGCCTCAAGTGTCACGGCGTACCAAGCCACAAGAGGCCGGTAACTAGTAACGGTTCCAGCATTCACGTGACTTTGGGCCAGAATCCCGGCCCAGTGAAACAATATGGCGATTACTAGTTACCTGCCAATCTCCTTCCCATAAGTATTTGCGCTTTACGCAATAGTACCTCTGCCACAGGCACTCTTCAATTTTGTGATCAATCACCTCACTACGCACGGCCATTTTTCCCGCGGTTGTTTCATTTGAAACCGAACTACAAAAAGTGGGAAAAAACGTATGTGACATCCGAACCATTTATTAATGTCAGACTTCGCTTCATTAAAATTTAAAGATTAAAGTAACCGAGTGACTTACGCATAATTTTGTTAACCGAATATGCAAATGAGTTATAGCAAAACTAATTTGTGCAGTGATGATAATAAAAAAAAAAAATAAGTAACGCGCATCGAACTGTAAAGAGTTCGGTTACTAGTACCTGCGTCCTACTTGCCATTCGCAAGGGGCGCCGGGAACCAGCGATTACGAGTTACGTATTCATAGTTGTATGTACGTATATCGATTGAGGGGCGGACGTAGTCCAAGGGTCGACCATTTTAAATCATGGGGTGGCCAAAGGATTAGTTAAGAACAAAGTGTATGCAAGGCGTTACAGGAAACAACAATTTCACTGGTCACGCTCTTCCTTCTTCCACATAATTTTAAAGCGGGGGAGTCGTCACCTGCGCATGTATCAATGGCCATATCATGTCGTTGTTTACAAACAA